CCAGAGGTTTTAGAGCCTGTGTGCCTGTGCCGTCCCCACGTCCCCTCCTGCCTCTGTGTGCCTGTGCCGTCCCCACATCCTCTCCTGACTCTGTGTTTCCGTGTTGTCGTCAGATCTACTGCTGCACAGGGTTCCTGTCTATCACTGGGAATCTGCACCAGGTGAACGCTGACCTGCTTGGCTGGTGGCTGTGTGAGCGTCAGCTTCCATCTGGAGGACTTAACGGACGTCCAGAGAAGGTACATAGGATCAGAGTATGGATGGCATATGTTCTACTCCGGGATATGATCAGTAATCTCAAGGCAGGCCAGTAATCCTCAAGGTGACATCACTGAATGATGCTGATTCCAGAATCTGCCCGCAGACAACTGCTGACCTTCCATCCTGATGGTGGCTGTAGTTCTCATGTGCTTGTGTTCCTGATCCTCCTCCTCCTGAACCCTCAGCTCCCTGATGTTTGCTACTCCTGGTGGGTGTTGGCCTCACTGAAAATCATTGGCAGGATCCACTGGATAGACAAGAGCAAGCTGCGCACCTTCATCTTGGCCTGCCAGGATGAAGAGACGGGCGGCTTTGCGGATCGGCCCGGAGACATGGTGAGTGCTGGTGCTGGTCTGAGGGAATCTGGCAATATCATATCAGATGAGTTGCATGGACTCCCGGTGTTTAGCCCTGAGGAATATCCCCCTTATCTGCGCAAACCATTTCCAGTTTGTAGACCTTCCCTTTAGGCTGTTGATTGGGGTTTTGTAGGGTTTCACTGGAGCAGAACCTGGCCATCATTCTCATAAGAGAAACCCCTCCATCTCTTGTCCAGGCTGCTCTGCTGTAGACCTTCGCTTCTGGATCTGGCCTGTCAATCTGTAAAAACACGGTCATTTGTCATCTCTTGTCTGGCTGTAGGTGGACCCGTTCCACACCCTCTTTGGAGTGGCCGGCCTGTCCCTCCTGGGGGACGAGCAGATCAAGGCCGTAAACCCCGTCCTGTGTATGCCGGAGGATGTTCTGCAGAGGATCGGGCTCCGCCCAGAGATTGCGAGCTAGCCCCGCCCCCAAGCGGACCTGGGAAGCTGCCTGGGGGTGACGGCGTGGCACGGGTCCCACTGTAACCACCTGCATAAGTAACACGACATTTACTCCTTAAATGAATTTAAGTGGCATCTGCAGGAGGCGTAGCAGTGTTTCCGCGTTTTGGAATCTGCGCTTTGTCTGCCTCGAGCGGGACGACGTCTGTCGGCAAACACCCACGCCGCGGGGTTTCGGGACAACTCTCCGACGACTGAGACCCGCGTTCAGCTTCCTACCTGCGAATTCCGGCTCATTGTGACATCACAGCGCCTGTTACTTCCCTGCTTCGCTCGTCATTCTTGCCCGGTGCTGGTGGCCCAGGGAGACTCTATTTAATGTGGTGATGGAGCTTCTGAGGTTAAAGTGCATTATAGCCCTTCAGGTTCCCCTGTCATACAGCTCAATATTTATCTTTCACTTCTTCTTGTTTCCCTTCCTTTTTTATTTTCAGAGTATATTAAAAGTTATCGTTCCTCCCTAGTGGTGTCGTGGGCTTACTGAGCTCTGAGAGCAAGTGTGTGTGTACATGTGAGTATCCTGTGTTGTCCCTGCAGAGACGCCTGCCTTCACAGCATGCTTTCCAGAATGTTCTCCGTCTCACCTTGACCTCGACGAGATAAGTGGTCATGGATACTGGATGTACTTATTCATTGGTAGTTGGGTTCCTAGTGTTTCATAGAGAGAGAATCTCCGCCCTGTTTGGTGCTGTCACCGTCTGCATGGGGGCTCCTGTATATAGTATATAGTCAGTGCCCCGTTTGACACGGTCCGGGCCCCATTTACGCCCAGTCAGTGCCCCGTTTGACACGGTCCGGGCCCCATTTACGCCCAGTCAGTGCCCCGTTTG